TTGACGACCGATCTAATAATTTTTAAATGTCGTAAAGCAACATATCATGACTTTTGACGACCGAGTTAATAATTTTAAAATGTCGTAAAGCAACATATCATGACTTTTGACGACCGAGTTAATAATTTTAAAATGTCGTAAAGCAACATATCATGACTTTTGACGACCGAGTTAATAATTTTAAAATGTCGTAAAGCAACATATTATGACTTTTGACGACCGAGTTAACACTTCTTTTTTCTCAAACGACCAAATAGTTGTTGTTGTTTTATCTTTTTAAGTATTAATCTGCAACTTCTTGAATCTTCATTGTATATGTTCACAATAAATATATTCCATCTTTTCAACATTTGGATTATTTGAGTTATTTTCAAGTACATCACATATCGGATAAAATTTTGAAAGTCAATATTCCTGTTCTCGTATCACTTACATATAGATGAGAATGGATTGACGGGTTACATGTTTCTACCAATTAGTCATAACTAACCTAATGTTACATTATGTTTCTATCAGTTAGTCGTAATTAACCTAATGTTACATTATGTTTCTATCAGATAGTCGTAATTAACTAGACAGCTTCCCCGGAGCATAAAATTCCTCAGAAAATTCACAGAATATCTTTATAGGCACGACATGAGTGTCATTTTGTTTCTCTTTTTATACTATTTCAGATAATTCTAATTGAAGGATCAAAACTTATTGCATCAACGGTAGCTCAGAACGGCTACGTCTACGTCATCAATCGTATTATCTATCCACTTCCGGGATTGAATATCTTCAGTGACATAAAAGAACGTCCCAATCTCAGTCAACTATTGTCTTTAGTTATAAAGTCTGGGCTACAAGAAACTCTTGGTGGTAAGATTAACTCATTATAACGTTCTTTTCAGAAGTCATACTCAGAGTACAGAGGTGTTTACTAGGTCATGAGAAGCTTAATTATGACTATTAGTAGAATTTGCAATCTTAATAGCGAGATCCAATACGATTTGGTATTTTATTAAAGTACTAGCATTGACAGAAAACAAGCTTAATAAGACCTTAAGGACTTCTAGTTGAATTTATAATCTCAATAGCTAGGCACAATATAAGTTAGGATTTTACTAAAGTATTGGCATTGTCAGAAACCAGGCAGGGTGGTGTTACCTTTGAAAACGTTCGTCATATTATTATGAAAAAAATCGAACTAAGAAAGTTTACTTTTAGTGAAATTAGAGTTACATCATTGAATACACAAGGATTGTTTTAAAAACTTATTAAACAAACAGGAGAATTGTAATAATAAATCAGAAGATAGTAATTTGCCTAGATAATGTTAATTAACACATCAATACGTATTGATAAACGAGAGTGGGAAAAAACTTTCTTTCATGCACTTTCGTTTTTGATAGTTTAATGCTGTTGCACAAACCCAAAGAAACTGTTTATAAATTTCTCTGCTAGTTTTAATACAAAAATTCTTCCTTATAGTTCTTTGTTATTAAGCGCAAAGCTGCACAGTGGGCTATTAGTGTTGTGCCCAGTGTGGGCATCGGAAGCCGATTTTTAGCGTTATAAGTCCTCAAACTTACAGCTGAGCCAGCATGTGGCAATTACTCATATAGTTAAGCTTTATCTCGAAAAAGAAGCCTGACACGTCCTGGTGATTCACAAATAAATAATCTAAACACCATGTAACACACAGATGGTCAGAGCGCTTGACTCGCAATCTGCGGGTCGTGGGTTCGAATCCCCGTCTCACCAAACATACTCACCCTTTCAGCCGTGAGGGCGTTATAATGTAACGGTCAATCCCAAACTTTATTTGTTAAAAGAGTAGCCTAAGAGTTGGCGGTGGGTGGTGATGACTAGCTCCCTTCCCTCTAGTCTTTCACTGCTAAATTAGGGACGACTAGCGCTGATAGCCCTCGTGTAGCTTTGTGCCAACTTCCAAGCACCATGTAAAAGGTGGTATAGCATTTATCTGTAAACATAAAGGTGGTTGAATCGAATATATATTTTAAATAATGGCACTTTATCTCGAAACAGAAATGAGAAACTTCCGGTTAATTCACAAAGCAATCATCCAGGCACCATGTAAAAATGTGTATAGGGGGGTTGAATATATATTCACAAAAGTAGTACTGGACATTTGAACTTACAGTGTATATATTTCATTTTAGGAGACGGACCTTATACTATATTTGCACCAACAGATGAAGCTTTTGCAGCAGTTCCAGAAAGTGTTTTGCAAGAGTTGTTGTCCAACTCAGACGCTTTACAAGGTAAATTTTCCATTTTGATTTTTTCGTGACTTTTTCAGGCGAAAGTAATAAAACATATTTATCATTATTTATATAAATTTATTCAATATCTTTTCTTTCTTGTTTTCAGAGTTGATAATGAACCATGTAGTAGAGGGCGCACACTATAAGAAAGAGTTCAGCAATGGCTTTATCCTCCCAACATCTCGTGGTCAAAAGCTGCAGTTTTTCCTAGCATCGGGTTAGTGATATTTTCGAGACATATCGTAGATAATTACAAATTAAAACGTTATCACTAACCCTTTTATGAATCTAAAATATAAAACCGCTTGAAATTTTATACGTTATCACAGATATTCTACATTTGTTACACGAACTTTCAGATGGAGTTTACAGAGTCAACGACGCCAACATACAGGAATCTGACATTTCGACTGGAAATGGTGTCATACACGTGATAGACCGTGTTCTTTTCGCGCCACCAGTAACTCAGCCGGGTCCTGGAACACCAGATGATAGTCAAGTACAACAACAACCCCAACTTCCGGAAAAACCTCTATCTGGTCAGTCAAATCTCCCAACAACGGGTCCTTCTTCTGAACAGGAACATCCCCAACCAGGTCATGAAGTATCAACTTCTGGTCAGCCAGAGAAACCACCATCTCAGGAAGTTTTTGTAAGAACCGATGGTGGTCAAGTACCTTCTCTACCAAGATTGGAAGTTGAAGGTGTTCCTCCACCAACAAATACAATCCTTCAGGTCATTAAGATGCCTGGTCTCAATGTTCAAGGCCAACCAGTTAGTCTCACCATCTTTTACGAACTCCTTCAAAAATCGGGTTTGCTTGATCTACTGAGTGGGCAGGGTAAAAGTGCAATATGTTTCATTATTTTAATTAGTCATTAAGGTTTTCAAATTATATAAGTTAATTTAAGTTCACATGTGCAAAACTGCCAGTAAATATTTTTAAAAAATGAGGTACATAAACTGAAATTATTATCTCGTATTGATTTATTTTCACAAACATATGGTTTTCATTCATCAGATTACGAAAAGCCAGGTTAGCCGAAAAAAAACAAGAATATGTATATTAGTTGATAGAATAATTTTTCAACGTGTACTTGAGTAAATCCAATTTGGATATAATGAACATAAAATAAATCTTTTTTTCGAAATTCATTCTTTACTTGTGTTTACAGTAAACTATTTTACTTTATATTCCATTTTAACACATAAACAATAAATTTTTGTTACCCGTTATTTCTTTTAAAAGGACCTTTCACTGTGTTTATCCCAAATGATGATGCCTTTGCTAATCTTCCTGCTGGAGTTCTGGAGGAACTCCGTAATAATCCAGAGTTACTGCGACGTGTACTTCTCAGCCATGTAGTTAATCGTTCTCTCAACCCAAAAACTCTACAGAACAACATGATTGTTGAAACGAATAACAACCGTCGGCTCTTTGTTAATGTTCTTAATGATGGGAAGGTAAGTGTTTCTTTAATATAACGCTATAGCATACATTAATGAAATTAATTATGGAAACACACAACCAATACACATGGAGTAATTACAACTAGGTGCATAATTTATCAATGGTACAAACATTATCACAGAAAATACAAAGTAAAAGCGAATAAACTGTACAATGTATTAGTATTTCGTAACTGAATTGCACCTTATTTTCATGCTCCCATACAGTTTATCAATGTGTAATTGTTGAATATTGTTCCAATTGTCCTGTTATAACTTCCAACAATTCAACCCAGTTGTTCATGCTCCCATACAGTTTATCAATGTGTAATTGTTGAATATTGTTCCAATTGTCCTGTTATAACTTCAAACAATTCAACCCAGTTGTTCATGCTCCCATACAGTTTATCAATGTGTAATTGTTGAATATTGTTCCAATTGTCCTGTTATAACTTCCAACAATTCAACCCAGTTGTTCATGCTCCCATACAGTTTATCAATGTGTAATTGTTGAATATTGTTCCAATTGTCCTGTTATAACTTCAAACAATTCAACTCAGTTGTTTGTTTGCCTTTTTACTTTCTCATATTTTACGTAAGTCCATACAGTCTCGAAAATGTTCATTTCGGGACTTTGTGCAGGTCAAGCTAGGGTCGTGAGTATCCCATCGGCATCTTTACCACCCTGCTGTCGTTTTACCACATCTGTTACATGTATGGGATCGTTGGCTTTCTGGAAGATGAATTTCTGTCCATTGGGTATTTTTACTGAGAGAACTCATGAATCTGAATGCATTTGTTAACATTTAGAGAGCCACCAATTTGAAGTAAATCAACACCGTTGACTGAGATCCAGATCCAAACTTCAGTTGAAGCTTTACTATAAATATTGTACATTGACCGTGATCCGTTTTCCTTTCTACCATCGAACAAACTTTGATAAAACTTAGTTGAATGGACGGCAAGTGCCTGTTGTAGAAACACAGGTGTAGAGGATGACGTTTCGGAAGACTTCCGCCTTTCGTCTTCAGGTTTGCTTATTCCACTGTTAGTAGTAATCATAGTTAAAAGAGTGGTGACAACCTTTACATCCGTCGAAGGAAAATAACTTGGGGCTCTACAGTAATTAATCGCTTCGCAATACTCTCATCAGGCTAAACAGCCACCCACCAAAATTGTATGACCATTTCTAGCTAAGTGTATTGAGCCTTTCACACACATAGTAGACAAATCCTTTTGGTTTCGTTATCTCTTCCCAGAAGACGTTTTCAAGCAGGTACACGTCCATCATGGTAATGTCTATCTTACTGTTCTCGAAGTAACATTTACATTTGTACTTGTATCATGTACGTTGGAAAAATCATTTAGTTGACTGTTGTACACTTCATAACGTATCTTGGGGTACTTCATTTTTGGAACTTGGTTGGCTATTTTTTGGTGGGGGATATCTCCCCCACTTTTATTATCAACAGTGTTAGTTTCATGTTTCTTCTTTTGAATCTTACGGCAATTTTCAGTTGAAATATCCTTCGCTAGCTAAAACTTTGGTTTTTATATATTTGCCATGCGATATTTCAGTCATGTGAACCCCGGTTGGTTTCACACTACTACTGGGCATAGTGCGACTGCCTGTACTTTTACATTTATACCTTTTTCTCCAAACATTTTCCATAATTATTTCCAATATCGTTTATGTCACAAGTCTGTTTTCGAAAATCGTATGTATTTATATATATATTATAGAAACATGTTGTACACATTTTAGATTTAAGTTTCATATGTGGAATAAAAGCTTGTTATCATAAGGTGTTAGGATAACAGGAAGCCCCCAATGGCACAGCGATATGTCTGCAGATTTACAACCCTTGAAACCGGGTTTCGATACCCGTGGTGGGCAGGGCACAGATATCCAATTGTGTAGCTTTGTGTTTAACTTCAAACAAATAAACAAAAAAGTGCAATTATTATTATCATTATAGCACTAAATTAAATAAAACACTTTAACAGCAATATTTGATATAAATCACTAAACAAAAAAACCTGAGCATATCGGGAAAATAGGTTTCTTTCTTTAGTCGTGAATTCGCTCTTGTAAAAGGTAGAACTGGTTTCCGAAGACGCTCACATTATAATTTTTTATATGATATTTTTTCTTTAGTATCAGGTTTCTTTCTTGTTTTGTGATACGTCAAATTTGTTTTCCCACGTAATATGTTTCCGCATGACTTCCATTACATAACCATAAATTGTTTGCTATTAAGCATAAAGCTACACAATAGTTTTGTTTGCTTGTTTGTTTGAAGTTAAGCACAAAGCGACACAATAGGCTATTTGTGCTGTGCCTAAGCGGGTATGGAACCCCTATTTTTAGTGTTGTAATTCCTCAGACATACCACTGAACCAGCGGAGGGCGATTACGTAACAAAACATTGTATAGTGTTACATAGACAACTGAAGGTTTCTATCTTTAAATTTGTAATTTATTTAAATTAAATAATGTATATTCACAATTAAATAACTATTACGTAAACAAACAAGCAGGAAGGTTACAACTCTAACTCGAAGCACTTCTTTTTTAGCATTGTTTAGTACAATATAACAAATAGCAAAAACAAACTTGAAGGTGGTCTTCCACCAACAAATACAATCCTTCAGGTCATTAAGATGCCTGGTCTCATTGTTCAGGGCCAACCAGATGGTCTCACCATCTTTTATTGGAGTTGTATCTACTCAAATTTTTGCAGGTTCCGTAAATGAATGTTGTTATATACTGTTAACAACGCATTATCAGATAAGCGATATCCGCTTCGTAGAAATTAACCTATCGTAATACTAGAACTAAACGACCTTATAACGCCAAATTGTCGTATTTCTTTAACTGGACACTCAACGTTTCGCTTTACGGCTTCTTCGGGAGTGTTCCACTAAAACACAAACTGTAACTGACAGTACAAAGCTTCAAAACATAAATGTTACAGCTTCCTACATAGAACTTGTTGTATTGTCAAGTATTATTAATACAAATTAAACAACATTAGGTCTGTTGGCTAGCGTACCAAGGATCCGAGGTTGGCGCCCCGTTACTGCACTTTGGAAGCTTGAGTGTGCATTATAAGAGCGACAGTCAAATCCTAATTTTCAATTAGAGCAGCTCACAAGCTGGTGGTGGGTGGTAATGATTAACTGTCTTCTCTCTCTAGTGTATCGGTTCTTCAAAATTAGGGATTGTTAGCACAGATAGCTCTAGAGTAGCTTTGCGCGAAATTAAACAAACATAAACAGCGTTATAATGTGTGAAGAATAAAATAACGTAAACAGCGTTATAATGTATGAAGAATAAAATTACTAAGCTCGAAAGACGTGGATGTTGAGTAAAATTAATATCATTTGATCAACCTTTTAAAGGGTTTGTTTAGTAACTTGTATATTGTTGCAGTTAATCTTGATTGGAGGAGCAAAACTGATCGCATCAACGAAGGTTCAAAATGGCGAATTTTACGTCATCAATCGATTAATCTATCCCATTCCGAGAATGGATATATTCACTGAGCTAAAGGAACGCCCCACTCTCAGTCAGCTGGTGTCCTTAGTCATGAAATCTGGACTACAAGATACCCTTGTTGGTAAGTTTTTCACACGTTCATAACCTTGAAAAACAAAACAGAATATAGTTTTGGGTCGATGCTAGGATGGGCCGAGTACCCCCAGGTTTTATTCTAGCCCATCCAAGTTCACCATTCTTCCTAGCGGTTTAAAAATGATATTACCACTTTATTTAAATCGTATGATATTTATTTCAAATCGCTAAGAAAGGTCAACAAAATCTCCACTGTCCTCCCACTCTCCCAAGAGAGAAGAGCTGGAGCTGAGCCTGATATAGTTCATATTGAAACTTCATATGTAATTTTGACATTGTGGTTCTATAATTTGAAGTTCTTAAGATAATTTAATTTTCACTGGCTTCTGTGAAAGATTCTAATATTAATTTACTTCAAATTTGATACAGTCTTGTAACCAGTTCAGGAATAATCCTGAATACATTTATGCATGCATACAGATTGATGTGGCGTTCCGTTTATTTGCAAAAGCCACTTGCTAAAAAAAGATATAAATATTATTATTGTTAACTTGCTATAAGAATAATCCGAGCACGTGGAATAAAGCACGAAATGAAACACGTCAAATTATTTAAATATAAATTTTATGTCAGATAAAGTCGAAGAAGTCAATGGTAGTTAAAGTCTATTTTCTGTTTTTCTAGATAAATATACATTTGTAGTTCATGCCCTTTAACTGCCACAAGTTAAGAAAAATTGCGTTTTTGCTCGTGCTATTTCAACAGTCAGTATAGACTGAGATTAGTATTTACAATAACTTTTTCTGTAATGCAGAAACGCTGTACTAGCACGAACTTTCTATTGTTTTTTTTTTAAGATTACAACTTTACTGGTAAAGTATCCCTTTAAATACTCAAGCACCTATATAAAGTTATAACTGTCATGTTTTAATGACGCTCGATTACGTAAATATCATTAAAATAATATAATATGGCAAAATGTACGCCTGTCCATCGAGGTTGCACTTTAGCTAAGGCAATTTTTTCTACGTAGCTTTGTCCACTGTTTGGGCATTGGTTCGATTGGTTCAAAATTTACGTCTCTGACGGTGCAAATATTGAAAACGTTGCTTACGAGGAAGTTTTAAATATTTCCAATATGAATACGATAACCCTTAGTTTTAAACAGTTGCTTGGAATACCACAACATTTTGCCGAATTTCGACACGTTCTACTTGTTAAAATATATTTCCAGTGAGTTGAGTACCAGTAAAATTAAGTTTTCAGAATACAAGAGTGAAAATTTGTGTAATATATATGAAATCAACACACTTCCTCTGCACATTTAAAGCTATAATATATGCATTTAATTACAGGAGAAGGACCTTACACCATATTTGCACCGACGGACGAAGCTTTTGCAGCAATTCCAGAAAGTGTTTTGCAAGAGTTGCTGTCCAATCAAGACGCCTTACGAGGTATGCTCTCCAGTTACAGACACATATTTAGAAGAGTCCGGGAACATCACTATGTTTACAAAAATAACATTGTATGAATGAAAAAGCTTAGGCTAAAGAAAAGTTATTTTAATAACTAGAGCAGGTTATATTTCTGATATATTTAATCCTTTTTGACTTCCAATAATTGTATATTTTAATTAGTGAACTTTCTGACCTATTACATCAATTTAAGGGCATATCTACTAGTAGTTGCCATTTTGAAGTGTAAAATGATACTGATTTTATTCTTTTCAGAATTTATTATCAATCATGTGGTAGAGGGCGTTCACTATAAGAAAGGGTTTACCAGTGGCTTTATTCTCTTGACATCTCGTGGCAAGCGACTACAATTTTTCGTAACATCAGGTTAGTGATTAAAAGTGAAGATTCAGTATGAAAATGTTTGTTTTGTTCAGTTCTTACTAACTTGTCCAATGATTAAAAGAAAAGGACTAGAAACTTGTATTTAGAAAACATATTTAGTATATTTATTTTTCATAACCAAAGTATCCTATATATTTTACATTTGTCACGATATCTTTCACTTTCAGACGGAGTTTACAGAGTCAACGACGCCAACTTTACAGGAATCTGACATCTCTACTGGAAATGGTGTCATACACGTGATAGACCGTGTTCTTTTCGAGCCACCAGTAATTCAGCCGGGTCCTGGAACACCAGATGATAGTCAAGTACAACAACAACCCCAACTTCCTGAAAAATCTCTATCTGGTCAGTCAAATATCCCAACAACGGGTCCTTCTTCTGAACAGGAACATCCCCAACCAGGTCATGAAGTACCACCTTCTGGTCAGCCAGAGAAACCACCATCTCAGGAAGTTTTTGTAAGAATCGATGGTGGTCAAGTACCTTCTCCACCAAGACTGGAAGTTGAAGGTGGTCTTCCACCAACAAATACAATCCTTCAGGTCATTAAGATGCCTGGTCTCAATGTTCAAGGCCAACCAGTTGGTCTCACCATCTTTTACGAACTCCTTCAAACATCGGGTTTGCTGGACATGCTTAATGAACAAGGTAAAATACTCTAGTTTGGTAACTTCTTTGTACAATTGATTCGGTAAAATGAGTGTTTGTTTTTAAACGATATATATATACACTAATCTTACTAAGAACTAGCAAGTTGCTGTTTTATTTCAAGTAAGTTTTTTATGTAGATAAAAATGAGTTTTCATCATAAACTTTCTCACGACAATAACATTTACTTTGAGAGTTTGTAGCTAAAACAAGACAAATTTCAATAATTTACAAGTGATACCAAACTCGGCCTTTAGTTTATGTCCTGAAAAGCATATACTCGTAATTTTCGTGAAATTTTCCTGATATATTTAACCAATTATTCACAACCATAAGAACATATTTCTGTCAACAGGACCTTTCACTGTGTTTATCCCAAATGACGATGCCTTTGCTAATCTTCCTGCTGGAGTTCTGGAGGAACTCCGTAATAATCCAGAGTTACTGCGACGTGTACTTCTCAGCCATGTAGTTAATCGTTCTCTCAACCCAAAAACTCTACAGAACAACATGATTGTTGAAACGAATAACAACCGTCGGCTCTTTGTTAACGTTCTTAATGATGGGAAGGTATGAATTTGAAACTAATAAAGTTATTAACTTAGTTATTTTTCTTTCTTTTCTTTTTTGATTAAATTGCTATTTGATGATTAAAAGTTAATAAAGTATTTCTTTATAGCGAAAAGTTGCTATAAGTTGCACAAATTATTCTAAATTAAGTTATTAATAAGAAGTAGACTTTTGGAGCCCAAATACAAGAGCAAAACAATTCGACTGTAAAGTTTTTTACTGCGGATACTTCTGAAGATCAAACCCTGAACACAGGCCCGGCATGGCCAGGTGGTTAGGGCGCTCGACTCACAATCTGAGGGTCGCGGGTTCGAATCCCCGTCACACTAAACATGCTCGCCCTTTCAGCCGTGGGGGCGTTATAATGTTACGATCAATCCCACTATTCGTTGGTAAAAGAGTAGCCCAAGAGTTGGCGGTGGGTGATGATGACTAGCTGCTTTCCCTCTAGTCTTACACTGCTAAATTAGGGTGGCTAGCGCAGATAACCCTCGTGGAGCTTTGCGCGAAATTCATAACAAACAAACAAACAAACCCTGAATACAATTTAACGTGTGAAGCAACAAATAATGAAATATGTAAAGCAACAGATAAGTTAATGTGTGAAACGATAAATAATTTAATGTGTAAAGCAACAGATAAGTTAATCTGTGAAACAAAAGGAATAAATTACGTGTGAAAAAACAAATAGTTGTATGCGTGAACCAAAAATAAATGTATCAGTCATTCTGTAATTTAGGTGTGAGAACATCTAAATTGCTTCTGCTTGTGCCCTTCAAATTCGTTAAATTACCACAGAGAAGTTCATCCAGTACATGCTAACAAAACGTGCTAGTTAAAGCAGAACAAGTCAATGTATTTTTTCATTTTTTGAGAAATTAAATGGTATTGTTATTTTGAATAGACAACTGAATTGAAATTAAATTAAGTCAAAATTTTGGCAGGTTCGCGGAAATGAACTATAATTAGTTACAATACTACTAGAGTTCAGTTTCACACCAACATTGTAATAAAGCCCTGTGTTAATTCACGTTGTGTGTTTGTGTATTTGTTTGTTCATGAACTTCTCCCACAGTTTTGGAGCTACTACGACCAAACTGGGCAGGTGTATTCGTGGTAGCTCGGGGTGTCTTTAGAATATGGTTTACCCCCAATCCAGGGGCGTTTAAAATTTTATAAATATGGTTTAGCCCCCCTTTTAAGGGCGTTTAAAACTTTATAAATATGGTTTAGCCCCCCTTTTAAGGGCGTTTAAAACTTTATAAATAAGGTTTACTCCCCCCCTTCCAAGGACGTTTAAAACTCGGTGTGAAGGTTGCCCAGTCATGATAAGGTCCAGGAGTTAGTGTTCAGAATCTAGAATCGAATTTTGTGTTCCTGCTCCCTCCCCCTAAGGATTCCGGGGACGTCCAATTTCAAATTGTGTTCGTACTCCAACTCATAAACTAGGAGGTGTCCTAATGAGATTCTATTTCGAGTACGAACCTCCTTAAGGTAGCTATAGACCCCCTCTACAAAAGTGGGTTTTCGGGTACGAACTTTCCTTAGAATAGAAGTATGAGTAATTGAGATAAAAAGTGGGCTTAATGGGTATACTGGAACCTCTGTGATTCATGATGAGGCCTTCGAACCCCGTAGCTGGAGCACGATTATTCTATGCTAATAATATTAACTCTCAACTGGTTGGGTAGGGTCACGATGACCAACGTCAATTTTTCAAGTCACTATTCCAACTCAGCTAGTGCTGCTCGCTACCTGATATTTTCCGTAGTATATCCTCAATCAGTTCTTGATTGTTGAGCAAAGCAAATGTGCGTTCGTACTTCTCTTTCTTACTTTTGTAATCGTTCGTTTGTCGTGGGTCAGCCCCACCGTACTATGAAGATAAAATTTTTGAAATTTATTACACATGGGTCATTTTCATTCACCCTACCACTTATGATACAAATATTTTACCTCACCAGTTGGGAGTTAAAAATGAATTCGTGGTTTATAAATGCTCAACAGCGAAATCATTTGTTCGTTATCAGAAATGATTCGATACGCTTACATTGAGTTTATTGTGATGGTTATAGACAACTAACTCTAGAAGGCACATTTATCCTCGTTCCCGGTGCATTTCGGTTTGTTATAAATTATTATAATTATTAGTAAGGAATATCTGTATTTTTCAACCATTCAGTAAAAAATATTATTCTTTTACTGCCTTTAACAAAATTCCGTAGTTTTCCTCAACCTACTCAGCATTCAAGAAATGGGTGAATTATTCAACCTTTCACACATTCTACAAAACAAACATTTTATACGTCCTGAATAATCTCGTGTTCTGTTTTATTTCAGTTAATCTTGATTGGAGGATCAAATCTGGTTGCGTCAACTTTGGCTCAAAATGGAGAAGTGTACGTCATCAATGGCTTGATCTACCCAATTCCGGGATTGGATATCTTCACCGAACTAAAGGAACACTCCAATCTCAGCCAGCTATTGTCCTTAATCGTGAAATCTGGACTACAAGAAACCCTTCACAGTAAGATATTTTTTTGAAGGAGAAATAAAATATAGTTCGCTGAAGAAATTCTGCATCATTTATGTTTAAACATTATTTTACATTTCATGTTCGGTGAATTTTGCAAAGAATGTAATGTTACCTGTGATCAGTTTTAGGCTTAAAATGAAATAAGAAATGATCATTAACATGCATGTATTTGCAAATAATTACAGAGCTCCAGGTAAGTATGTGACAAACATCTGCAAGAAATCGAGTGTTTCAATAGCTCAGTAATTCAGTTTGTGTACATGAACATCCTGGATACTCTTTGTAATCCCTTTCATTGGATGCATGGATCCGAAGATTTGAAATTACAATTTATACATTTCATTTTTAGGAAATGGACCCTACACTGTATTTGCCCCAACAGACGCAGCTTTTGAAGCACTTCCAAAAAGTGTTTTGCAAGACTTGTTGTCCAATCCAGACGCTTTACAAGGTAAGACTCTTCAGCCAGTAAATATTGTATTCTTATATTGAGTATACTTCAAACATATTTTATACTAGTCAGAAAACAACGCTATATAAAAAAAATATTAATTTACGTAACACAAAATAGCTAATATCAGGTTGAATGATATTTTGGCGTAATAATAATAGCTTGTCTTGGCGTGGTATACAATACGTAAAATATCGGAACGTGTCATGTTCGTTTGTTGCGCATTCGTTGAGGAGTGTGATTTGCTACTGATTCATAAACTTCGGCAGATGAATAAATTGGTGAATGCTAAGTTCAAGTTCAAGCTCAAACATAATTAACCCAGTAGGCTGTTGCATTATCGTCTTGGCACAATCCTTGTTCAACGGGCTGGGAACGCATCTTTGTGAAGTAAGAAGTACACTCCATTTGTTATTCATTCTTCTAAAAGACCAAAGGATAGTCCTGCATCAAGAATGTTACCCACACCATTACTTCACTTCCAGTAATTTGCACTGTAGAAGCAAATTCGAGAGTTTCTTATAGTTTTGCACACCTATTTACTCTAATATCAATGAAGAAGAGGATGAAACGCTAGTCATCAGACCAGTTAGCACACTTCTAGTAATTTTGTTCTCCGTAGCTTAAAGTGTAATCTTAACCGAAGTTAACATTTTATGTTTCCACTGTAATAAGCACTTTTGTACTTGTTCTCGGCCATCATATGATCATTTCTGTAATGTTTTTTACATGGTAATATAGAGATAGTCAAATTTTGACAACTATTAAAAGGATCGGTTAAACTGGGATATAGTCTGATGTCTGCTGCATTTAAGAAGTCAGTTTACAGTTTCTCCTAGTAGCAAAAGTATTCAGTTCTAATTGCCATTGATATCAGATTCGGGTTGCCAATGTTCTTGAAAATCCAGACAAAAAAAAAGGTTTCCTATAATGAACTCTCAGATAAACGTTAACTTATTATCATGACCCTATCAAAATGCGAAAGGTCCCTACACTCTTGCCCTTTTTTCTTTCCTTTTTCTACAGTCTAAGGATAGTATAACAGGATCTCTGCATTTTATGCCTCAAGCAGTCACTCGACACATCACATAATAACACTGTTTCTGCTTATACACATAAATGGATTATTCTACAAATGTATTTTGAGAATCAATATAAAGTGGTCAGTGAGGGAACACTTGTGTTAACTTCAACTAACATTGATTTATGGGAATTGAAAGTTACATCTTTAATATCAATATTATATATTATCAGTTATTTATATTATTCGTTTTTACTAATAATTGTACAAAACTTTACAAACAAAATGTCAGTAGAATAATATCATATTTTGTTCTTTCCAGAACTAATAATGAATCATGTTGTAGAGGGCGTTCACTATGAGAAAGAGTTCACCAGTGGTTTCAATATCCCGACGTCTCGTGGCAAGCAGCTGCAGTTTTTCGTGACATCAGGTTAGGGATTAAAAATGAAGATATATTGTGAATACTTACAAACCCATAAGTTTATATTAATTTGTTTAAATATAAAAACCAAAACCTCTAGAAGAGTGTTACGTTATCACAGATATTTTATCTATATTTGTTACATTAAATTCAGATGGAGTTTACAGAGTCAACGACGCCAACATACAGGAATCTGACATCTCTACTGGAAATGGTGTCATACACGTGATAGACCGTGTTCTTTTCGCGCCACCAGTAACTCAGCCGGGTCCTGGAACACCAGATGATAGTCAAGTACAACAACAACCCCAACTTCCTGAAAAACCTCTATCTGGTCAGTCAAATCTCCCAACAACTGGTCCTTCTTCTGAACAGGAACATCCCCAACCAGATCATGAAGTATCAACTTCTGGTCAGCCAGAGAAACCACCATCTCAGGAAGTCTTTGTAAGAATCGATAGTGGCCAAGTACCTTCTCCACCAAGACTGGAAGTTGAAGGTGGTCTTCCACCAACAAATACAATCCTTCAGGTCATTAAGATGCCTGGTCTCAATGTTCAAGGCCAATCAGTTGGTCTCACCATCTTTTACGAACTCCTTCAAACATCGGGTTTGCTTGACATGCTGAGTGAAAAAGGTAAAAAAAAATTAAATTATTAAATTTCTTCCACTAAGTTTTTGTTGTTGCTGCTACCGTGGGGTTTTAAACGATGCAAAATTATGTTATACGTTAATATGGTGAATTAGAATTTGATAGTTTAATTGAATTAATATATGTGTGTTAGAAATCTATATATAGATATGAATCCGTCTGTCCGCAAAGCCCCTCCTACAGTTTAAGTCCGATTTGGATGAAACTTTGAATGAATTTTCAATTGGGTCTCTTATAAAAAGTTTTATTTTGTGCATGTGTCTATTTTGTTAAAGAAATATGTCAATAACAGCTTTATATCGCACCAAAAAATTAATATTATAAAATAGACCCTCGCTCAAATTTAAATAATAATAAGACCTTATTTTATAACATTTTTTCCTAAATCTCTTCCATAATGAAGAAATTGTACTTCTTCCAAATAAATAATGTACATTTTTTTTGTACAATTATTATTATGAACGAAATTAATTTATTTAATAAAACTTCCAAAACTGTGGTAATGTGAGTTTAATGCAGAATTTCAAAGTGAGTCCTCCTAGTGGAGAATCATGGTGATATTTTAGAAGGAATACGTCTTTTTTCTTCTGGAGAATCCAACCGTACACTATGAATTGAATTGTTCTGTGACCGAAAGAATCGCAAGTGCTTTGTATAACTTGCCCCTCAGTGGCACAGCGGTATGTCTGCGGACCTACAACGCTAGAAACCGGGTTTCGATACCTGTGGAGGGCGGAGCACAGATAGCCCATTGTGTAGCTTTGTGCTT